GGTTCAGCATTGACAAGAAATAGTTTTTATGAGAGGCCTTTCCCAGATATACTGCAGATAAAACATATGATACTTAAATATAAAATGCCTAAATGCATTTAACACATAGAGATCACTTTAATATTAACATTGAAGAAGATGATGATAAAAATTATGATAATCTTAAAGACAGGGATTCATTAATTTTACAAACACTTTATTTTGACCTCAATTGATAATAAAATAATTAAAGCCAGAAAGGTAAAAAGACCATCCAAATTAGTGCTTTATATTTTTTTTCCCTAAACTAAACTGTTCTTTGCTGACACAAAAAATTATACATATATGTAAAATTAAAATTGTACTAATTAAGAGTAGTTCATGCTTACCTATTGGATCAAGGTTAAACATAACACTTACCTTTTTTGACTGGGTGAAAAGAGAGAGAAATAAGGAAGATCATTTTTTAAGGGCTGGCAATATATTTTATTTGAAAAGAGGCTTTTTGACTTCTGAAATATATTCTATTTTCAGAATTAATAATGCTCTTTGAGTGCCAAATATTCTCTGCCCTGGAGATCAGCTCATTTCCCAAGTTACCTTCTAATTGAACCACACCAATCTGCTGCAGATCAAGTAGTTTGGTGCAACAACCAAAAAACTTTGTGACCATAAACTCCTGTAAATTCTCACCACCGCTACCAACCCCTTTTTTTTGGTTTATGTGTGTGTGTGTGTGTGTGTGTGTTTGTGTGTGTGTGTGTGTGACCTTTAAAAATTATGACCCTTAAAAAATGGTGGACCTGCCAGGCTGGGTGGTTCACATCCATAATCCCAGTGGGCTCCAGAGGCTTAGGCAGGAGAATCCCAAATTCAAAGTCAGCCTCAGCAATTTGGTGAGTCCCTAAGCAATTTAGCGAGACCCTGTTTCAAAATAAAAAATTAAAAAGGACTGGGGATATGGCTTATTGGTTAAGTACTCCTGGATTCAATTCCTGTTATCAAATAAATAAATAAATAGCTACACTTGACTGAAACATAGAAACTTTATTTTATCGAGACTTTGAACATCATTACTGGTCTATTCTAATCAATGCATTTACACAGCCTGTGACTCATATAATCTGTGCTACCCATGTATCCAAATGTACCACTGCTATGAAATTCTTTTGTTTAGGTATTTCAGTGGCAATAAGAAAAAATAGGGTCAAGAAACAAAAGATTTACAACAATAATAATCCCTCTACAGAGTCATTTTGAAAATTATATTTGGACAATCGTTTATCATAAGTAGTTAGTAGACCTGTGAGAAGGATATTATTTAGAGATCCTGAGAGAAGAAAATAAGACATATTTAATGAATAAGCTAAAATAGATCATATTTTTTATGTTGTGTTGACATATGTGGAATCCCTAAATAGGAGAATATTATAGAACATATGCTTAATTTTTTTTATCCTAACTTTGAATCACCTAAAAATATTCACAATAATTTGTTATTTAACTTCTATTTTGGTGGGGAGACAGAAGGAGGGCTAGAATTAATAAGTTCAATAAATTGTATTTGGGACTCCTGGTTGTATTACTTTGAAAGTTTTCTTCTCTGTAGTTCACAGCAAATAGATCTGATAACAGAGCCAAGAGTTAAATTAAGTCAGTGTTTAGAAGATGTAATTCATTAAGTGTCATATTTAAGGAAAATGTATTGATTAGAAGACATGTAATGACCTTTGTACTATTAATGACCTTTGTATTAATGGACATTAAGAGCACATTATGCACATACTTTTTAAAAATATTTTTTTTTAGATATTAATGAACCTTTATCTTATTCATTTATTTATACGTGGTGCTGAGAATCGAACCCAGTGCCTCACACATGCTAGGCAAGCATTCTGCCACTGAGCCACAACCCCAGCCCAACATACCTTTAATAATTGCAATGTTTTCTGGGGTGGTATTGCTCATAACAAAAATCCCAAAGACCGTATTATGGAAAGCAAGGTACATGTAGAAACCTTTAAAGCCTTTATCTAAAAAGTATTGTTCTTAGGTTTCTTCTACCATGACATTATTTGACTGGTCACTTACTTTGTCCCATAAATTTTACCTTGAAAGTCAAAGGGTATTTTTGGGCTTTCATTTCATTATGAAATGTTTTCAAACAGAAGCATTTTATAATGCCAACTAGAAATTCTGAGACATTATTGGCTTTTAGTTTCCACAATTGTAATAGATAACTCTAGTGACTTTGAGTCGTATATAATCCATCATGTAAATTGACACATAAGTTTAGTTCTCAACAAGCTGATTCAGTTGTCT